GTCATGATCCCAGGGTCCTGGGATTCAGTCCCATTTTGGGCTCCCTGCTCTGTGGGGAGTCTGCTTCTCCCTCTGCCTCTCTCTCTCTCTCTCATGAATAAATAAAACTTTAAAAAAACTTACAAGTGTTTATACTGAATTTGATTTTCCTTTTGGTATTAATTTCTTATCTTATTGCAATATGGTAGACTATGTGTCTTGGGCAGTTTTTACTTGTTAAAATTTTACTGAGATTGTCTTTCTTTTTCAGAAGAACATATAACTGATTTTTGCAAATTTTCCATGGATTAAAAAATTTATGTATTTTCTATAAGATATAAAGGAAGACGGTGGTAAACACTTTAGGAAGTAAATGCTCATCTCTTAACATGTTTCTGTTTTTATGTACTGGGTTTTAAATTTGGGTTTTAATACACACTGAAAACTATTTTAAAACCGAAATGAGTATTTTATTTTATTTTTCTGCTTTTTTCCTACCATCTTCCCACAACTAAGCATAAGCCCATCCTTTTCTCAGTGCATCAGGATACAGTATGTCGAGGGTGCTGGCCCAGCCTCCAAGTGGCCCAGTCAGTGGTTGCTCATCTGAAACAGGAAGCTGGTCCCATCCCATCACTTAAGACCCAGAGGTGATGGTTTCAAAGCTCTAGTCCTTGTCCACCAAATGGCAACCCCCAAGAAAAGAAGTGACTACATCTCACCTCGTGGGGCCCTCACTGAACAAACCCTGTGTCAGGGAACTCCAGCTTCCTGCCCCGTCTAGACATTGTCAAGGGAACCAAATAGAGGCGTCACTGGAGGAAGTGACAGTGGACGCTGATCAAAGGCAAACCAGATGTTTTGGTGTTTTCTGCTCCTTTGGTCTTGGTCAAGCAGGTGCTCCTCCGGATCCGACGAGTTTCACGGACCCAGGTGCAATGTCTTCATACTTTTCTAAGTACTTACAACCTCCAGAGTATTTCTTACATGTTGCGTGCAATGTTTTGGAAGGACTGGCTGGTATGAAAACCCTCACACTTAGAATCCTGTCTACCCGCATGGGGGTGAAAGGTGTCCCCATTTTACCAGCAACATTTACAGGAAAGCACAGTAGGTATCAGGGGTCCTCCCTGAGTCTTCATTCCCGCTTGCCTTTACTCCCTCTCTCATTTGACTGCAATTATGTTAAGTGTAGTTGGATCAACTTTGAGTCTACAAATTGGGTGCCCTTAGGTGTCTTAGTGAAGTCACGTTCTCTGGATATTTCAGCCGCTTGGACAGTCTTGACTATGAATAGTCTTTGGCAGTCACAGTGGAGAAGACACCGACCCAGGAGACTCGGTCTCGCCTTCACTTCGTAGACCCACAGGCATAACTTTTTTCTACTCATGCCTTCCCTCCACAGAGCCTTTCCCCAAGCAGTTGTGCTACTTTGTGGTTTTTCACCTCCACACCCCGAGCCCCCACATCCATTAGCTTGGATGAGCCTTAGCATGTTTTCACACAAAACGTTCTCCGAGCTCATGAATGACCGATGGGAATTATGAAGACCCGCTCTGACAGCAGTGGTTCCGGAGGGAGCGTGGCTGCCCCAGGAACAAGATCACGCGCACCTTGGGCGATGGCGGTCTATTCCAATTCTCCCCTGGTATGGGAAGTTGGGGCTGTTCGGGGGGTATCGGGCCAGGGAGTCAGCAGAGCGATGTGGCTTGGGCAGGTCACGGCTTCCCTGTGCCTCAGCTTGCCTAGCTGTGAAGTGGGGATAACAAAACCCCCTCAGAAGGCTACTGGGAGGTCATTACTAAAGGATATTATAGTGGTCTGAGTTGGTCTAGAACATTCCCTGATATTTTCACTTTCCATAAAGGAACTTAGGATTAGACTATGATTTACCTTGGACTTTCGGGCCTTTAAACACTCACCTCGTTCCTAGGCTGCATCCAGCTGCAAACATTTCCTGTCCCATGATTTCATCTTCCTGTGATTCACTTCACCAAAGCCGAGGCAGTCGCTGTGAACAGAGGTGGCCCTGGGCTCCCAACAGCTACGGTGGCATGGCCAACGTGTGATGGCAAAACAGGAGGCGACAACAGAAAAGCATGTCACCGACACAGCCAAGTGAAGCCCAAATGAAGCTGAGCGAGGGCGGCGTGGGCTTTGGTGCCCGTAAAACCTGGCCACACTGAACGAGCTCGCCGGGACAGCGGGCAGGTGTGTGCCAACACGGACAGGTGCCTCCCATCGACAGCGATCCCTTCCGAGGTAATGCGGGTAGCCGTTCCCTCCTCACAGCTTTCCCACAGTCCCGGGACACGTGCCCTTAGAACAGGGCCGGATCCCAAACAACCAGGAATGTTCTTGTAGTTCTCACTTTCACTGGCCCCAAAGGCGTAGATGGCACCTTGGAACCGCCGGGGTCAGCTCCCGAGCCGGGCAGCGCGTGGCCCATCCCCCCAACCCCAGGACGCCCCGTGAGCCCCGTGCAGCTCTTGTCTCCAAACGAAGGATTGAGACGGGAGGCACCACAGTTGTCTTCTCAGGATTTATTCTCAGTACGGATACTTGTCTCCGGGAAAACCAGGAACTTAGGTTTTTTTAATTGCCTGACTAGTACCAGTGGAAACAGCCCATTTTCCTTCCACTAGGGTCTGGGACGTTCTTCTGGGTAGGGCTGGGTCCGGCTCGGTCCTGCGGCCACTGGGCGGGGGGGTGGGCAGTGGTAGCCGCAGGGAGCACTAAACCTACACCCACCCTGGCACTTGGCCAGCTGGCTCCAGCAAGGTTCTGGACCCCTGAGTCTCGAAGTCCCTTCTCGGCCCAGGGGAAAGTCACGAAGATGGGAGGAGTAGTTCCCTGTTCGACACACACGTGTACGTCAGGCTCTACGAGGCACTAGGCCCTGGTTTGGGGCTGAGCTGCCAAGACCCCCAGCAATCCGATGGCTGAAGAAAGTCCCTTCCCTTCTCTCTCCTGTGACAACCCAGGGTGGGAGGTGACCCGTTCTGCTTACACATTGTGGGACTGGGGATGGGGGTGTCCTGATGCTCTGCCATCCCCGACGGCACCGAGCTCCGGCGCCAGCCAGGCCGGGATGCAGGCCTCCTCCTGGTCCAGCCGTGCAAAGGGGCCCCTGTCCTTGCCACAGGACCACACCCAGCCCCAAAGGAGTCGGAAGTAAGTCCCTAGCGGGGTGGGGGGCATGGGTCACGGAAGCACAGCCTCATTTGGGAAAAAGAAGGGGTCATCTGAAAGGGATCGTGGGACCCCAGGTTGTTGCAATCTGTCACAGCCCAAATCCTTGCCAGCACGCGGACGTAATCCCATCCCCCAAAGTTTTAAGAGGACAATTCAGACTCGGACTCCAGACCCCGAGACAGCAGTGAGGCGGCGGAAGTGAGGCCGGGGTTCCACTCCCCACCAGGCACGGGAGCAGGCAGGCTCAGGCCACCGACTGGGCGAATTCTGGCACAAACTCATCGGCTTTTCTACATCTGATTTCTGATTTCCCTCTTGCCTTTGCTCCGGAACTGACAGCACGGCCGAGCGTGGGAGCCAGGCCCCACTTCTGCGGGAGCTCTGACAGCCCAAGGGGGCGGCTGCCCACGGGGCGTTTCCCGAACAGGATACGGTCACGGATTCACGCTTCAGACCCCTTCCTTCCCCTCCCCTCCCCGTCCTCTCGCTCACATGGGAGAACCCGACAACCCCGAGCCTCCGATGGCGGACGGCCCCACCCCCGGCCACACAGCCGGACATCTGTGCTCGCCTTAACCCCCGACGGGAGGTGCTGGCCAAGAAGGGGCAGGAAATGGCAGCCTGAGGCCCTTGTCTGGGCCACTCAGGATCGGATGAAATGAAAACGAGAGCACCACGGCGCTGGCGGGCCTCCAGTTATCAGCTGCGCCCTAAGAGCACTTGTCCTATTTATATCCGTAAAAGCGCTTTACTGAAGAAGTGATACAGCCATGTACCTCCCAAACCTTTGCTCAAAATTCTTATTTAGTTTTTTTTTAATCATCAAAACTGATTTCTACCTTTGTAATGTCCCAGAGAGTACGGACTCTCTGTTTCCCGATACTCTGAACACATCATCAAAGACAGATCACTGCTGACGTCCGGGGAGCATAAAAGGAGATTTATAGACCAGGAACGTATTCTCCGGGAGCCAGACTAGAAATGACCCCGTGAGTAAGTTGTATCGGTTTTACTGGTGGAGCCCCGGGACAAAGCAGGGTCTGAGTCAGGTCTGTTTGCCCTCCGCGTCACATGTCACCAGATGCGGTCCCAGGGCGATGGCAACACGGCCGGGCGTGGGGGCGCAGGAGGTACATCAGCCCGGCCACCTTGCTCAGGGCTGCCCGGGGGCAGGGGCTGTCGGGGAAGGCGGTGTGGCGTGTAAAGCTCACAGCTTATTCCTGAGGCCGCGGCCACCGTGGACCAACCAGATCAGACGGAGGAAACGCGCTGCAACAGGCTCTCTGCACACTGTGAGCCCCGCTGGCTTCACCTCGGGGGCAGGCCGCGCCACTCAGAACCCACCCACCAGCAACAGGTCCTCCTGTGACAGCCAGGAACGCTCTGTTCCGGTTCCCTCAAGTCCTGGAGTCATCGCGAGAGCCGTGGTAGAACTACAGAACAGACTGGAAAATGCCACACGGTTCCAGCGGACGCCGCCCGGCAGCCCTCCTCGGACGGTGCCCACAGACGTCATCGACAACCGTCGGCTTGTCACCGTCCCCGCGCAGCCGCTTTCTGCCAGGGCTCTCAGCTACACCCACGGGCCGGGTGGGGAGGGTTCCCTTTGCCCCCCGGACCCTCACTTCCCAGCCAAGTGCTGCCGCGGTCACAGTTTTACTGCTCCTTAAGAGGCCCGGTGAGCCGGGAGTCAGGGGAAATCGTGCTTTCTGCGAACCGATCTCGCCGCCCCCAGTTAGGAGGTCCCGATGCACTGTAGGGACCAGGTCTGATGAGACGTGCCCCACCGGAAGCGGAAGCCTCGGGGAGATGAGGAACAACAGAGATTGTACTGAGGGGTCGGATTCATTTCTGATACAGAATCACCTCGAAAATAAGCCTATGCTGCTGGCTTCGGCTCCCGTGAGCACCGCCGCCCACGGCATGTCTGCTCGGCCTCACTGGCTGTCCACACCGCCTGCTCCCGGGCTACACCCTGCAGAGCTTCAGCGGAAAGTTCTCCGTGATGAGGTGATCCGCGTGAAGCAGCACGACGATGTTGACCTCAAATTCTGAGAAGAGAAAGAACAGGCATTAGGCTGACCCGGCCCGGCGGCCGACACCCCGTGCCCACTGCACCGCGGGGGCTCCGAGAGGTGGGGGCACTGGGTGCTGAGGGGCGTCCGTGGCCGCATCCCAGGTCCGTCACCCCACGCTTCCAGGGAAACCAGCGAGGACGGCGACACCGGCCTCTGAGCGCCCTTGGTGCGCTTTCTCTGAGCAAATGTGTCTCCTTGCCTTGGGAGAGGAAGGGGGTCTGCTTCCCAAGCACACCTCATTGTCCTCCGTCTTTACTAGAATCTTCTAAAATTCCTTCTGTTCTTTCATACTCTTGCTTTATTTTTCCACTTGTGACTTTCTTTTTTTTTTTTTTTTTTTAAGATTTCATTTATTTATTTGACAGAGAGACACACAGCATGAGGGAGGACAAGCAGGGGAAGTGGGAGAGGGAGGAGGAGGTTTCCCACTTAGCAGGGAGCCCCATGTGGGGCTCGATCCCAGGACCCGGGGATCATGACCTGAGCCGAAGGCAAGGCAGATGCTTAACGACTGAGCCACCCAGGTGCCCCCAGCTGTGACAGTTCTTATTGGAAGAACCTCTCCCTCTCCCCCTGCTTGTGCTCCCTTTCCCTGTCAAATAAGTAAGTAAAATCTTTAAGAAAAAAAAAAAAAGAAAAGAAAAAGCCGGTGGAACGGCGGCCTTCACGATGATCCGCGCCCGCCCTGGACTGTCACGCTGCATCTCTGCCCAGATGCCGCCTGTCCGAGGAGCCTCCCTGACCCGCACGCTCCCCGCTGCCTCGCTCCGCAGCGTTATTGTCCCTGCCCGAGCCGCGCCGACAGGGTGGCTTCTCGGGGAGCTTCTGTTGCGCGACCGGGGACCGAGTGCCCTGCGCTGAGCCGGCCCCAAGCAGACCGGCCTGTCCGCCTCGGGGGCGCTCGGGGGCCCCAGGCTCCCGGGCGAATCGGGCGGGCCCCGGGGCGCGGGGAGCTGGCGCGCTTACCCACTTTGAAGTTGGTGGTCTCCAGCGTGGGGCAGGTGAAGAGCCGGGGGAACACCATGTGGATGGGCACGGAGAGGCTCCGACACACATCCCCGTCGGCGATCTGGATGTTCTGGATCTCCGTGGCGTCCCGGGCGTAGCCTTCTGCACACCCTGCGGGAGGCGGCGCACACGGTGCGGTCGAGAACAGGGGCCGTCCCCACGGGCAGGCCGCTGGTGACACTTCTGCCATCTGCTCCACGGGATCTAGGGCTCCCTCCTCTCTACGTCTCACTTTCTCAGACGCTTCTTGGGATGGAGGGGCGCCCCCTTCCTTCGGCCCCCCACCCCGCCCCCCCACGGGCCACCCTTACCGCAGGTCTCCACGCGGACCAGCTGCAGCTCTATGCTCTTGATGGCGGCCTCCGAGCTCTCCACCACCAGCTCCCCGGTCAGCGGCTGCGTGATGACACAGTTGGTGGAGTTGAGGTGTCCTCTGATGACAAATTTGGGGAGCAAGGCTCTCTGGAAGGAGACAAGGGACGGTGGGAATGGAAGGTGCCAAGGGAACTCACTCCAGAGGCAGGCACCGGGAGCAAAGAAAAACTAAAAACAAAGTTGGGCAATTTTTATAAAACCCGCTGGGCCCCTGTTTTACAAAATGGGAAAAAGGTACAACCGTCCTTCTATCTCCTGTCAAGTCCATGAACGGACTGAATTATTCAACAAGCGCCTGCGGACACCCGGCGCCGCCGCTGCCTGCCCGACCGCCAGCTCCCCCAGAGCCGGCCCGACTGCCTGGGTCAGATCGGGAAGCTCCTTCTCACCAAGCGACACGACCCAGAAACTCCTGAGCAAGCTGCCAGCAGTGTTTACAGGGAACCGGTCACACACACCCCAAAAATGTTTTAAAAGAGAATCAACTGAAAAATGCTCCCAATTAAACAATTCTGAAAAGCCAAGATTCTTCCTTTTATTTCAAGGACATTTAAAGAGAACAATTTTCATCAGTGCTTGACTAAGACCTTCTGGACCTTTCCCCTGTACACCTAGGAACCTGGTCACGGTTAGACGATGATGTTTTTGTGGGACGCGGATCTGAGGCGTCAGAGGCAACTGTTCTAGCACACGTCGCCCAGCTGGTCCCAGGTGCCAAAGGTATGTCAGAGTTTAGAACACCACCGTCTCACAGAAGCAAAATGTGGCCACACATGTGAGCCACAGATGTAATTTAAAATTTTCTAATAGCTGTATTTTTTTTAAAGATTTTTATTTTTTTTATTTATTTGACAGAGAGATCGAGATCACAAGTAGGCAGAGAGGCAGGCAGAGAGAGAAAGTGGGAAGCAGGCTCTCTGCTAAGGACCCTGAGATCATGACCTGAGCCAAAGGCAGACGCTCAATCCACTGAGCCACCCAGGCGCCCCTAGTAGCTGTGTTTTAGAAAGTAAAAGGAAACAGCTAAAATCAACCAGTATATCCTAAACACCACTTCCACATGTGATCAATATTAAAACATTACGCTTATATGCTCTCCCTCTTTGAAATCCAGTCAGCACCTTACACCTATGGCTCAGCTCGGCTCTGACCAGCCACACCTTGAGGGCCAGTGGTCACTGTGGCTGGTGTTTGCCCATCGTTGGCACTGGAACTGGAGAGCAGGGAGCTCTGTCCCTCATGGCCCCAGAGGCAGAGAGGTCTTGATTCAAGTCAAAGAGAAAAGTCTTGATTCAAGACGAAGTTCTAATAACAACGAAAAAGTAAAGTAGCTATTTGTTTGGAAAAATAAAAAGCAGCTGCAATCTCTATTAAAATTCTTTGAGGCAACTGGTGAGAAAGAAAACTTTCAATATCCGGCCGAAGATCCTGACTGAACATTCAATTCACCCTCCCCTCCCAGGGCGTAATGTTAACATAGACAAATAAAATAAACTACACCAAGAAAGTCCATGCGGGACGCCACGAGGAAACACCCCAGTGAAGAGTTTCTGTGCATCAAAGTGCTCAGGGAGGCTCCCAAGAGCTCAGGGGATCATGCCCTGAGGTCGGGGGCACAAGAGTGTCCCCAGCAGGGGGCAGCCCTGAGATCAGAAGTGGCGCCCACCCAGGGAAGGAGCAATCAGTGAGGGGGGCATGAGTGGCCTCTGGAGTCAGCATGTGCCCAGGCTGCCACCACAGCTTTCCTCAAGGCAACTCCCCCACCAGGACACTCCCAAAGCAGGTTGGGCAAGGCAGGGCAAGCGTCCGCAGTCATTTACAGCCACAACGCAGGATGACGCCCTCACCCCAGAAGATGAACTACCAGCACACCCCGAAAGAAAGCCCACAAGGTCAAACACGTGTTCCCCAGCAGCAAAGCTCCTGTCAGAGTGCGTTCATAACCAGAAGGACAGACTCATTCGGGCTAAGGACAGACACTCTAGTCAACAAGGCCGTATGTATTCGATCTTCATCTATAATTATAAGCTGACAACCAAGAATCAACAAACAGCTGAGGAAAATAAAAGCAAGAAAGATGCACACCCTCTGCAAACAGAATAACCAGCCCTAGAGAGAGATGAAGGGCCGTGCATCTGCAGTAAAAGAAGGGGCTATCTTGGAAAAGAAACCGCTTGGGAGATGAATGATGCTCTTGCTGAGGGAAACATGTCAACAGTTGGGCGACATACCAACCTAAGAGTAAACAAGTGAGCTCAAAGACCGTGCCAAGATTCTCCTTGATGCCTCTAAGAAACACCGAGAGAAGTTCACAGAGCTGAAGGAAAGATGGCAGGCGCACTGACTAATTAAAAACCCAAATCTGGCAAGGGCTTTGAAATTCCAGAATGGTAAGGATGGGGGGGGGGGTGCTGGAATTTTCCGGGCTGGGGGGAAGGGAGGAGGAGGAGAAACAGAGGAGCTCACAAATATTTGGGGATCAGATCATCAGTATCACAAGGTACCAGAAAACCAGGGAGCTCCTCTCCCAAGTTCAATGGGCAAATGAAATTGAAGCCAGAAGCTTCCACCTACCTAAACAAACTAGGGTTCAGTGTGAGAGCAAAGGCAGGTGTCTATTAGACACTCAAGGATGTAAGTTCACTCCTCATCCTTTCAGAAAGAATGATTCTAGGATGTGCTCCAGAGGCACAAAAGAATACACTGAAGAAAGAAAAGAAGGTGAGAGAAAGCAGAGGAGAGCAATGACCATGGTGAAACTTCCAGTAATTCAGCGTTGGCTAAATCATGACTGTTTACTTCGGGCAACTACGAAAAATCATTTCTAAGCCAACAGAGGCTTCATACTGGGAAAAATAAAACAGATAAACTGGAACTTAGATTTCAGACCATTTCAACAAAGGAGAGGGGTCTGGTGGGAGGAAAATGCAAAAATGTTACAAACCTTCTGGCAGAAGGTTCTCGTTCTCAGTGTTGTTACTTAAACTCATGAGTGTCTCTGTATGTTCGAACATTTGGGGGTGACTATTAGGAAAACAGAAAAAGTACGTGAGAGGGAAAAGAAGCAACCATAGGATAACAGACCTTAATCAATCAGAGTAAGGGCGGGGACAAAGAAGAAGAAAACCAGTAAAGTAAAGCAGAGACAAGATATAGGGAACAAAACGTCCTGCCAGGAGGTCTTTATAAGACACACTTGATCTGCTCCACTCTCTTCCTCACTCCAGCTCCATCACTAGGTTTTGTGTTCCTGAGATTCTTGGGAAGGAAGAAACACAAACCCACTTAGGGGCATGAGCACTTATGGCGGTGCTAAGAGCCGAGGCCCAGGCGACCACCTGTGCTCCCTGGGTGTTTCCAGTCCCGTTCAAATCCCTGCGAGAGACCAAGCTGACTGGCCCACAGGGGACTTGTCCCCTCCAGTAGATGGACTTTCAGGGATGCCCCCCAGGCCGCACCCCTGTCTCAGCTGTGCCTCCCCAGGCAGCGAGAGGCCTTCCCCACTTGCTGGTCAACACGGTCTGGAGAGCAGGGGGAGAGGCTGCGGCCTCCATGACTAGAGCAGGCAGCCAACTGCGAAGTAACGGTCTGCGGCTCCAAGGACAGGTGTCAGGGGCAGCCAGGGCTCAGGGAGAAGGGCTCTGAGCCCCACGTGTTAGGCCGGGGAGAACGGGGGAGGGGGGCGCGGGGAGCACAGCAGGCAAGTAGCCTCCCCGAGCAGCTTTTTAGAAGCATTCTCCCCCTCAGAACTTACGGAGTTTAAAAAGAAATCAGAATTGAAAATCCAGACTACTTTGGGTATCGACAATAATCCGAAATTTCATCTCAATGACTTGATACCCAAGGGGAGAACTAGGCCACGGGGCGTCCGCGGGAGGCAGCGGCTAAGCGGATACCCCGGCCCGCAGAGCCAAGGGGCGCCGTACCTCTTTGACGTTCTGCAGGGTTTCAGGTGTAATGGTGAAGTCCACAGGACTCGGGGTCAACTTCCCCTTCTGAGGCTAAAACAGGAGGCAAAATCCAAATCAGCTGCTTGAAGCCAAGAGCCCCATAGGCCAAACTCCCCTTTCCCCTTCTAGAGAAACAAAGGGCAGCATAATGAACTGGGAAGGACTTAGTACTCAGACGCAGGTCGTGTGGGGTCCAAACACGCAGTTTTGCCAAAAATCTACATTATGTTCTTTGTCAAATTTCTTCATCCCCTGTGACTCAGTTTCCTCATCTGTAAAATGAGGGGACTGCTAAAAAAAATAAATAAAATAAAAAAAATAAAAATAAAATGAGGGGACTGCTTTCTTAAAAATCTCTTGGGGCCCTTTCGGGTCCAGAAATGAAAAATTAGACCTGAGAACCGAGAGTAGCATTCATGGAAGGTATTTATTTTAAACCCCTCTCTTAGAACAAGAGCTGACACTGAACTAGCATGATGACCGAATCGGGTGCTGTCCCTGTCACTGGTCCCATTTCATAGACACGGACAGTGAGGCGCGGTGAGTTCCCATGGCTTTCTCCAGTGGCCGAGCCGAGATTCAAACCCAGATGGTCCAGCTCCAACGCCCGTGCGGTTAGCCACTCAGCAGTCCACCTGGAAGGCCCGCTCCTCTAAACTAGAAATGTTACCATAATTATGAACGATGGCCCTCGCCACATCACGTAACCGCAGAAGCCACCTGGGCGGCCAAGCATCACCAGGGCCTGCCTGGTGTGGCGCGCTCGGGTGCCGGGACCCACAGACCGGGGGGCTGCGGTGGAGAAAAGGCACTGGCCAACCCACCAAGTTTACTCATTTACCAAAGCACATTCTACAGTATTCTTCTTAACAGGTTCGTGAACACATGCTTTGGGGAACACATTCTTCCTTACAGCATTTAAAGGAATATTTGAGTTGGCAACTGGAGATCACACGTGGTTTGGCCTTCTCTGAAATCATTCACAAAGAACAGGCTTCTTGGGGAGGCTGTGTGTCGGTAAGCTGTTGAGAGGGGGCCCTGGGACCTCTGCCCCGCTGAGTACCCTGAGCTGGCCCCGGGGTGTGGAGCCTGCAATCCTGAGTGGGCTGTGGGCCCTGGGTCGGGGGCCATGGGGTGTCCTCAGCTGTGCCTCCCCAGGGAGCGAGAGGCCTCCCCCACTTGCTGGTCAACAGGATCCAGAAATGAAAAATTAGTCCTAAGATCAGAGAGTAGTGTTCTCGGAAGGTATTTATTTTAAACCCCTCTCTTAGAACAAGAACGTGGAGCCCAGCTCTGGACAGGGAGCTGAATTTGGGCTCACTCTCCTTCACAAAGTTAGAGGCTCTTTTTGCTGAAAACCTAAAAGGGTGTGTCTCTTCTCAGGACTAATCCACATGAAAAATTTTTTTTTCCCTTCAGTTTCAAGACCCTTCATAAAAAAAGGAAAATACCTAAATCACATCATTTCCAAAAAAGATAATTATTTTTAATATTTTGTATGTCACTAAAAGAAACAATGAAATACAGTAATTACTATTAGTAAGAGGAAAACTATAAATGTTGGAAGTCCCAAAAAGTCACAAAAATGATGCAAATAAAGGACATCAGTCATTTTGCCAATCTCATACACAGGAGACATAAGTCTCCCATTTTTCCTGAACCATTACTAAAAGACACCCATGGACATTTCGTAACAGTGTAAAAGAAATGCAACTGCAAATGTTCTACAAACGCCAACCTACCTCACCAGGGAGCTCTGGAGAAGCCCCACTTCCTAAGGCCCGTGGCAAAGACTATGGGACCCGTGTGGGGTCCCCAGGTTGCTGAGCCCCGCTCAGTGCCAACGAAGCTGTAGGCCACACCGGGTACGTGACCCAAGGAAAGCCAGTGGCTCTTGTGTCTGTCCAATCTGGGTGGCACCTCGGACACAGCCTGCAGCCCCACGGCATCCATACACACATCCAGTCTCTGTTCACCTGGGCACCTCCAGGAACCCTAATCTGGCTCTCTCTTGTCCCCAAACTGCTCAGAATTAAATCAAAGGCAGATGGACCACATTCTGAGTCCAGGTGGCTCTTCAAGAAGGGAACCAGGCTGCAGCCCGAGAAAGAGGGGGCAGGCCAGCCCCGAACCAGAGGTGTGGGCACACAGCCCCGGGAGGGCAGGGCAAGGCCTGGCAGCTGCTCCGATACCGGACCTGGAAAGCTCGGGGACACAAAACAGGGGAATCCAGTGCGGTGGACATCTGTCACCACGTGTCACACCTGGGGCAGGCGCTGCCCGTCACTGCTAAGTTCTGCACGATGACTGAGTCGTCGAGCAGATGGGCTGCAGAATGAGGTCTCTGCCTTGAATTCACCCAGATTCACCTACAGCCATGGGGAGGGGGGTCCAGTTCACCTGACATGTGAAAGTGGTTTTTTAAGAACATTCTGTCACGGTAAGATGTGAGCAGAAGGTGTTGGGGGAGGCAACCCACCCTGGCCCCAGGTGTCCCTGCTATCCTTGTCGGGCAGAACAGGACTGTGGGGGCTCTGACCATTCTTTATCTGGGCCGGGCCATGGCTCTGGGCTGTGTTTGCCGCAGCAACCGTGAGGAGGGGTGTGTCTCTCTGAAGCAGACTTGCTCACTGCTCACTTACTCTGAGGGGGGCTCCCAGTGTGGTGCTTCTTGGCTGAGGCATGAGCCCCCCCGGGGGGGTTCTGGGCCTGGGGGAACGAGGCACACACCAATGCTGGTACTCTGACCTGGCCCGGAGAAACAAGGTCCCTCGTGTCCCACCCGGGAGTCTCTTTCTGCAGCAGCCACGACACGGCACCAGGCTGATGTATCAGCTTCGAATTGGGGTAAGATACCAGACCCTACAGAAGATTCCTGTGGCCAAGCACAGAGCCCCCCCAAATACAGCTTACAGCAGAGTGAACGATGAATTCGCAGGTCTTGGTCAAGTCCTTGGCCAGCAGAGACCGCCGCATGTCACAGCGTAGGGTGTACTGCAGGGAGAAGTCGGAGAAGACGTCACGTTAGTGTGATCTGCTTTCATCGTGGAATTATATTGAGAGAGACAAAGAAGTCAATGTACTTTAGGGAAACTTGGTCCAATTACTGTGTTGTTTGAAATTAATATATTTAATAGGGGGAGCCAATGCTCACAGTGAAGGCATTTCTACAAAAAGACCAAAACTAAGAACACTTAAGGTGGTTCCACAGCCTAGTCCCACAGTTGGACCCACCAGTACAAAGGCACAATCTTAGCTGTAACACAGGGAGAGACCGGGGGGCAGGGACCCGATGGGGGCACAGAGCAGAAAGAAGACACCCACAGAAGCGAAAGCCAGCTCCAATCCAGTGGCCTGTCTCACTGCGTGAGCCCTGGCAGATGAGGCAACTCGTCTGGCCTTCAGCCTCCTGCCCTGTAGAAGGGGGATGTTATGCTTCAGCAAGAGCCAAGCGAGATGCTCGCTGTGTGCTGGGCACTCAGCACGGGGTCTGGCGGAGAGCAAGCAGCTCTCGGTAAAGCAGCAGCTACTTTGTCATTAGGAGGAGAAAGCGCTCAGGAAGGACCGGGAGCTCCAGGACTGCATCCGGCATTCCACGGAGCAAGGTAAGGCAGGCAGCACCACACTAGCTTCTAACCTAGCTGTGTTCAGTCTCTATGCCATCCCCGTGCTCATTTTCTGAACAAGCCACTGCGGGTGTACCACCCCCCCGCCGCCCCAGGGAGAGCCGGCTCCCTGCCAAGCCGGCCCCAGAGCTAAGGGCTCTGACCCAGGACGCTCCTTCACACTCCTGTCTGTGGATGGACAGACTGATTGATAACAAAATTCTATAGGGCCATCACGGTCTTAATGTTAACCTTCAAAAAAAAAAAAAATTCACATAACCCATACTGAATAAAGTTAGCTGTTTTTTTAACCATCCAGGTAAAATTTCAGAATTCTGTTAAAAATGATTTGTGGGGCGCCTGGGTGGCTCAGTGGGTTAAGCCGCTGCCTTCGGCTCAGGTCATGATCTCAGGGTCCTGGGATCGAGTCCCACATCGGGCTCTCTGCTCAGCAGGGAGCCTGTTTCCCTCTCTCTCTCTCTCTGCCTGCCTCTCCATCTACTTGTGATCTCTCTCTGTCAAATAAATAAATAAAATCTTAAAAAAAAAATGATTTGTGTATCTCGGACTAAATGCATGGTCGAATCAAGAAGCTACATTATTATGAACAAACTAATACATTATGTGAGAGGTTACTAGACATTTAAGGTACCATCAGGAGATTAAAACACATTTTTAAAAAAATTATTTATTTTTTTTGGAAAATACTTTTTAAACAGAAACATCCCTTGTCTGCAAGGACCTTTTCATATATACACACACACACACATATATACACGTATATGCATACATACATACACATACATATATATATACACACATACCTACACACACACATATATATATATATACACACACACACCCCCTTCTGGGATTTCTACCTGGTCTCCCCAACCCAACAGGCTCAGTGAGGCCTGGTGCTGTCAGATCCATACAGGCATGTGTGCATACAGGTGTGTGTACACGCAGGTGTGTGTACACGCAGGTGTGTGTACACGCAGGTGTGTGCACGCGTAGTACATCTATGTAGGTGTGTATGCCCGGATGTGTTTTGTCGTTCTCCTGCACAGCTCACACGCTGTCTGGCACGGGCGACATTCTGTTCAGGCTTGCCTGGTGTCTCGGATTCTTGTCCCAGTGGGAACTTCCCCTTCCTTGTTTTCCCGTCTGGGGGGGGTGGGGGGGCCCCCCCCCCCCCCCCCCCCCACCGAGCCCTCCTGGGCAGAGCTGCTCCAGGTACTGTTGGGAAGGGTTCTCTCTGCCGGGGGAGCCGGCCCAGGAGATGGTAAGCCCGAGGCGGCTTAACCCAACCATGGCCAGGAAGAGGTCTAGAAGGAGAGCCCTAGAATGAAAGAGGTCTGCACAGAAAGCTGAGCTGGACCCGGACCCAGCTTCTGCTTCCCCTTCCCTGGAGCAGCTGGCTCTGTGGTCCGTGATACTCTTTTTAGGCTAAGGCAGTTTGAGCCAGATTTCTATAACTTGCCAAGGAGTGAGAACAACGGGCATCGACTTCTGGTTACAAAATGTTTCTGAGCACGGAGGCCACCATCAGTCATCCAGGGCAGCTGCTAAGTGACGGTGGGGAGAAAGGTGGCCAGAGAGGAACACGCTGGCATTCTGTTCGGCGAGTGACGTGAATTCTCTCGCATGTAGCATCTCAGTGGATTCTAAGGACGGTCACCAAGAACTCACTGATGCAGCCACTTGGCAAATACATCCTCGGGGCGTTCTACATGCCTGGCACTGTGCTAACGAAGCCTTCAAGCCAAGATCTCATTCATCTCCTAGGAGGAGAGGTCATGAAGGGTGGTTGGGGTCACAGAGGTGGGATTTCAACTGACACCTGCCGGTTGCCAAAACCAGGCTCTGAATCCTTATGCAATGCTGGGACTCAGGCCCGGATCTGCCTGCTGTGAAGTCCTAGATCTTTCCATTTTATCGTGATCTTGTCCAGCGGCTAAGGAGGATCTTGGGGGGGGAGGTCAGAGGGGGTCAGGACGGTCGGACTGAGCAGGGCGCCAGGAGGAGGTACAGACAGGATTGGATCTTAGGACCGTCCGTAAACACAAGGCCAACAGAAAGAAGGACGAAGCGCGTCAGCAGACGTGCAGCAGACTTCTAGAAAGGATATACGCAACTGTGACGAAGAATGACTAGCATCTGGACACATTAATTCTGAAATACGATTCTGCAGACAAGTTGCGACTGCTGTAATGTTGGGTTACAGTATAAAACCTTGCTACTACGGCCGCAAGAGTAGAACAAACTAAGAAAATTTGCCTCCGATTTACATAACTTGTAAAAGAAAAGGTATTTGCACAAAGGGCAACTGGGAGAAGCGGGCTGCTTCTGGTACATGCGATCTAATCACAAAGAAACAAACACAACGTGCCCGGGAAGAACAGGACAAAACAACACCAAGCCTCCACCTACAGAGTGACAAGGAAACCCAGACCCTGCGAGCTGGAAATGTAATACTCACTACGCCTTAAACCCTTTATTCTGTCTTACGGTTTTTACCATTTTTACATTATGTTACTACAATACAATTCAAATCATCCATGTAAAATGTCTTAGCGCCCACATCATTTGAGGAAGAGGATATTACTGGCTTTAGCAACACTTTCTGTCCCAAGAAATGCACCCGTGAATCTTCAGGGAAAGCACGCCAAGCAAGGGTGGCGGGGGAGGGCAATACCCCGTGGGACCCCTGCTGAGGCCAGCCCTGTGAGCCCAGCAGTCGCCATCTGCTCTAAAACAAGGAGGCTAGCAAAAGACCCTTCTAGAAACTGAATGAATGAATCAATGAATGAAACACAGATTTTTAAAAAACCACCATCCTGGTTTCTCTCTAGAGGTATATTTTCAAGGAGCCCCTGGATGGCTCAGCGGGTGGAGCACGTGACTCTTGGTCTCCGGGTTATGAGTTCGAGTTCCATACTGGGTGCAGAGATTACTTAAAAATAAAATCCTTGAAAAAGAAGCATGTTTTCTCAAAAGGAGCAATAACAAATGTGAATACAATTGGGAATGAGAAGGTATTTGAGAATTTTTGTTAATCGGATAGGCGTGAAAGGGCCAGCGTTGACTACACAGGAGAGTGTCCCCACTTTCTGGAGACAGATACTGACATAGCTCACATGATTCTGTAACTGACTTTGAAATGACTCAGGAAAGATAAACACAGATGAAACAAAAATGGCGAAATTCTAATAAATGCTGAATCTAGGTGATAAGCTCTTCTAAATCGGAGGTTAGGATGAGAAGAAATCTCTTCATTTTTAGGAATCTGTGAGATATCTGGGGGGTGGGTAGAGAATTCTAGGTTGTAGCACTCTGAATTAACCCTACCGGGGTGAAACCCAAGGACCAAAACAAAGGTTGGGTCTGGGTGACCATACACTGTACTGAAGAATTCGCCACCTGCTAACGTTCCAACAGCATTGTAAAGAGTTTCCAATTTACACACAACCAGGCAGGACACAGGTACACGGTTTTTTATGCACAGCTGACTCTTAACAATGTGGGGTGAGAGGTGCTGATCCCCGCAAGTCAAAAATCCATGTACCACTCGTGACTTCCCAAAAACTAACTACTGAGAGCCTGCTGTTGCCCAGAACCCTGACGGGTAACACCAACAGTCGATTACCAGGTATTTTGTATGTTGTATGTGTCACATACAGTATCCTTCCAATAAAGTAAGCTAGAGAGAAGAAAACCACAAGGAAGAGAAAATACATTTGCACTCTAAAAGATCCAGGAAAAAGGGACCCGCACAGTTCAAACCCATGTTGTTCAAGGGTCAACTGTACATCTGTATGCCCCTCTTGGCAATATTTGGAAAAGGATGAGATTTCCAATTTGATTTTTTTTTCAAGATTTTATTTATTTATTTGACAGACAGAGATCACGAGTAGGCAGAGAGGCAGGCAGAGAGGGGGGGGGGGAAGCAGGCTCCCTGCTGAGCAGAGAGCCTGATGAAGGGCTTGATCCCAGGACCCTGAGATCATGACCTGAGCCATTATGACACAGAGGCTTTAACCCACTGAGCCACTCAGGCGCCCCCCAATTTGATTTTTTTTTTTTAAAGACTTTTTTTTTTTTTTTAAGTAATCTCTGCACCCAGTGTGGGGCTGGAACTCACAACCCTGAGATCAAGAGTCACGGGCTCTGCTGACTAAGCCAGCCAGATGCCCCTCCAATTTGATTTAAAACAAATTAATTTTTTTTAAAAGACTTTATTTGACAGAGAGAGAGAGAGAGAGATCACAAGTAGGCAGGCAGGCAGAGAGAGAGGAGGAAGCAGGCTCCCCGCTGAGCAGAGAGACCGATGCGGGGCTCGATCCCAGGACCCTGGGATCATGACTCGACCCGAAGCAGAGGCTTTAACCCACCGAGCCACCCAGGCGCCCCGAAACAAATTAATTTCTTAACAAGAACAATGAGCACAGGAGGAAGGCACAAGGAGTATGACCAGTGAAACCCCAATGTTAGTCTCGTCGGTTTCTCATGAACGGACGCTCATGTTATTAAATAAACAGTATTAAAGAGCTACGGTGTCGGGAAAGCAAGGCGATGCTGATTCTGGAGAGAGAATAAGTATGATGTTCGAATGAGACGTTTGAGATGCCGTCAGTCTTGCTAAGAAGGCATGCTGCAGGTAAGGACTGCGGTGAGCGTACCGGGAAGTACTTGGACCTGGGAAGCTGGTCGTTCCTGTCACTTCCTGGGCGCTGTCCAAAGCCCTCAGTGTCCAGATTGCCTGAGACAGGTGCAGCCAGGATGCAGGACTAGACGCGCTTTTTCGGGACGGAGAGACAGCGCCTGCCGTGCGGGATGTCACGCGGCACGAGCGTCTGCTCACCCCATCGTTCCGGCGGCGCGCAGCCCTCGCGCGCGCACAAACCTTGAGTTGAAACTCTCACAAGTGTTTCGGGGATCCGTATTTTTGGAGGCAGGGGAATGGTCTCCTGCTGAGACCAAATTATCAGCGACAACTTCATAAATCAGGAAACTTCCCAACTTTCCGCCCTGCTGCACGTACGCAAGACAAAATGGTTTTGTCTCGCGCGGCAAGGGGAACCCTGCAAAGCTGGTATCACAAAAGTCCCTTTCTTTGCACTGAATAGAGGAGAGGCTCTCTCTCGCCCGCTCGCTCTGAGTCATGACTCCGAACTGCGGTGGAGACAATAGTGGCTGTGAAAGGCGGCCTGGGCCGGCGGAGGTAGACAGGAAGTCATAAATTCACTTCCCCTCATTTACAAGGTTTGTTCAATAAAGAATGCAAGCCTATGTCAGAGTAGTAGCCTTTGGATATCTAACAAAGAGATATTTATACGTTTAAAATAGACAGTGCGGGTGCCCTAGAGGAGCGCGGCCCTAGCTGTCACCGAACACTAACAGCACCCCTCGCGGTGTCAACGTGGCCAGAACAGGGGCCCCAAGGAAACAACAGAATTTTTTAGAAGAAGCTATAGCCAGGGTCCTCCGGGGTTCCTATCCAAAATAATGGCCACACATAAAATGCATTCTGCGAAGCAAAATGAGAAATCAAAACAGAAAATGCACGGGCGGTCTTGGCATAATCATAGTATTAAACTCTTGGGTCCATCTATTAATTCTGCCGCCAAAGAAAGACGGAGCCGTTTTTGCAGAAGCCAAGCCAGGAGATCCACGGCACGGGATTGGGAAACTCTCACCTGAATGTTGACAAACACGCCGTGGTAAGTCTCGTACAGAACTTTGTTGCCCTTCACGTGCAGAGGGAATTCAAAAGGAATTTCTGTTTTGCCGCTAGGAAATTTCCCTGGCTTCACCATTTCGATGGTGCTGTTGATAATCTGGATAGGCTGTGAAGAAAAAGCAATTCGATCTATCAGCATGCACTTTGGGTGCATTGCCCAATTACCACGTCTATTAACGATCTCCCGAAAGACACGAGCCTCGGGCCCTCGGAGCCGACCCTCCCCATGCCCTGGCCGGCCCAGGGCCGAGTCTGCGGCTCAGGACCCAGTGGGCTCGAGTTTTTGGCACAATTACGGTTTGTTCACAGTACCAGATGCTTAGGTGTTTGGTGCACATCCAAAGCCATATTTCCTATCCTTTCCCCCAAAAGCTCATTTGCTGTCCTAACAATCCTCCTGCCAGGCACCCCCCACTGCAGAATGAAGCAGCAGAGGCTGCACAGTCAACGTGCGGGGGCCAGGAGGGCCACCGCCAGAACCCGGGGGTCCTCACCAGCCCGTGGGTGCTTTGGACCCCATCCACGGGGAGGAGCGGGCCCGTCCTCGGTCCTGTGCGCCTCCGGGGTCCACTGGGACCCACCCAAAGGCGGGTCTCACCCCTTAACTAGTTCACGTATTCAAAGCCTTGGTTTGGCACCACTCAGAAAGTCTACCGCTCTGAAGTGAGCCTCTGAGGGCTTCTGGAAGAAAACAGGGAGACGGGGAAGGCCCTGAATCTGAATGTGGTTCCTGAGAACCCTTCTTTCCTCTGACCTCCTTCCCCCTCGAAGCTCACAGTTAATACGTCCCTCCGGAAAAGGAAACGCTAAGTATAGAAAAAGAGTTTATATTCTGGAACACATACCTCTACCCAAGATGACAAAAAGGAGGGAACGGCCACGGCTCTATCCGCGTCTTACCGGAGCGTCAACTCCAAGAGCTACCGCGTGCACCGTCCCAGCAACGGTTTTGGATTTGGAAGGGCAGTGCCAGAAGCCACAGGCACTTCTCAGGAGGGCTCTGTTCTCTTTAAAGGCTGAGTTTAGAGCACTTACAGTTCTCCTAATCCTATCTTATAGGAATAAAAACAGGCAGACTTGCAACGGAATATATTCAGAGGGAAAATATCTGAATATTTCTGCAGTTTGATCAGCAAATATTATAAGCAGGACCACCGCTAGGCCTTGCAAAACATCCACAGGTAAAAATAAAGCCAGAAAACAAGTAAAAACCACCACACGCATCGGGATAACGAACTAAAAATGTGCAACGTCAGTGCTCTTACCTTAACGGAATTATAGAAAGCCTCAAACACTCCCACGCTCTTGGCACTGAGCTGGAGGTTCACGCTCCCTTCCACTGTCAAGGACACTCCCTGGTGTTGGATTGAATCCTTCCCAGATATGACCACCACGCCTGAGAGCACTTCCTAGGAGAGCAGAGAGAGCCACGCAGTCAAATTAAGACGTTTTTGCATTCACCTTGTTTATGAGCAGAAGTAGGTCGCCTTAACGAGCAATTTGTTCAAAGGTGCAGACAGTCACTGAGCCACGTAGTACAGACCAGAGACCCAGACGCTGGGATGGAACAGCCTCAGGGAGGAACTGAGGGTACAGGGCGGGGACAGACTGCGGGGGAGCACTAGGGGGAGTGGGCGGGGGAGCACTAGGGGGAGTGGGCAGCAGATCTCAGGCCATCGCCACCTGCCCCACAAATGATTCCACAAAGGGCAAGGAGCTGGGTCAGAGGCAATCGGCAGATTCATAGCCCCACTGCACACAACTATGTATAATGACCTCTTCAGAAAGAATACAATAAAATCCTTTCCTTTGGGTTCTTTCTCAGTTATGCTAAAATGACTAAGGATTTTCTTTTTTAAATTTATTTTTTATTTTAAAGACCTTATTTATTTATCTGACAAAGAGAGAGAGACAGTGAGAGAGGGAACACAAGCAGGGGGAGTGGGAGAGGGAGTAGAAGGCTTTCCACAGAGCAGGGAGCCCGGTGGAGGGCTCGATCCCAGAACCCTGGGATCATGACCTGAGCCACCCAGGAGTCCCATGACTACGTGTTTTCAAGTGCATAACGTACCCCAACTACTGGCTTGGTCCTCTCTCTGCCAAGGAAGCCTCACTGAGGAGGGGTCTAGAGCTTGTCCATGGAACACGTGAGGGCACCCCACCACTTTTGCTAAGTCTTCCCCGTCTCTCCACAGCCCGGGTCACTCTGCAGACACTCAAGCCCAGATTTCCCCGGATCATAAGTCATTTAGGAAAGATTTCACAACAGATCATCTATTCATCTATCTGAAGATAATTACAGAGTGACAGAATATGGACATTATCCTCTCTCCTGGATGGCAGTCTCTTCCTGTCACCAATTGGCTATGGGGGTTTTGGGTGGAGAAGGAAGTTCAGGAAGATGACAGTGTCCTCCGGAGCGGAAAGAGAATCCATAGAAAATTCAAACAACATGTTTGTGAAAATGACCTTCAGAAATGTAGCACGACTGCTGTCAAATGGTAATATGATGGCAGAAAATTACTGACAACCAAACCAAAACCAGAAAAACAGCAAAATTAAAAGGGGCCTGCAGATCAAAGCATTAAAAACCATCTGTCCTATTGTTGTTTAAATCTTTTTATTTCCTCTAGTCATCCAGTGAAAAAACTTTTACCAAGTTCTCACAGTATGAGGAATTTGGGGAGCAGGGAGTAGTCTGTGTCCCTTAAATGTGCTAAGTATTTGTCTTTGTTTCCTACTCCCCCATAAAAAGTGCATAAACAAATTTAAATGAAAATTCCTCTGAAATAATTTGACTTTTAAACTTAATTAAAATTAATTCTATTACTTCTTGTATAACCCAAATTAAATAGAAGTCTAAGTTTTAAAAATTTAAATTCACTAGTATATTTTTAAAAATTTACTTGACCAGTGTGTCCCAGAATAAAATGAGCCAAAACAATTGCCACGAACTTTATCACTTGTGCAACACAGAGGCACTCGGGACACTCTGCTCCTATCAAATCACATTTTCAGTTAATCTCATGGGAACAGGATCCAGGCTGACCACTGACTGGCATATTATAGTCGTGACATCAATACCACCTTTCCTTCCCTGCTCCCCATGTTATAAGAAGGAAGCAGAGTACCCTGGAAGGAAGCAGAGTAAATATTTTATGACTCAGGGGACTCTTTTGTCATTCTTTGATTCAATTAAGAAAGAGTAAGTAGAGGGGCTCCTGGGTGGCTCAGTCAGTTAAGCATCTGCCTTTGGCTCAGGTCATGATCCTGGGGTCCTGGGATCAAGCCCCGCATCGGGCTCCCCCTGCTTCTCCCTCTCCCTCTGCCCACCATTCCCCATGCTTGTGCATGCTCTCTCTCTCTTACTCTGTCAAATAAATAAGTAAAATATTTAAAAAAGAAAGAATATAGCAGAAATACAACATTAATAAAGTATTTGTTGGTAAGTTTGGCAGGTCTGTTCAATCCCCACCAACAAAAGAGGGATATGGAATTTGTCCCAAGTGTAGCCCAAGGAGCCAAGGTACAGAATTTCTTCTTCTTATTTATTTATTTATTTACTTATTTATTTTTAAGAAACAGAAGATAGTTCAACAAAGAGGTAAGGCTCATAGTGACAGGAACCAATTCTTTTATTTGTTTTTCATAGAAAGGTAATTGACATATAACACCTTATTAGCTGTAGGCACCCCAGACAATGCTTGATTAACTCTGGCAAAGGAGCACAGAATGAGCTTGAATAACTAAAATTAGGGGGAAATTCAAGGCCTCGCCAAGAACGTACCCCTCCCCCTGACTTATGTCCAGGACTCGCAACAGGGAGAAGGATGATGCTGATATATCACCCAATGTCATTAGCAGTGGTCGCTCATAGACTCTGGGACGGGAGCAAACCCCAGAAATGATGCACAAAATCGCATGCACAGGTCCTAATTTTTAGAAGAGGCCTGGCTGTCGTCACAGCATCAAGGGGGCCCTGGGCCTGAGAAAGGCCAAGAAATGCAGGCTTGAGTGATGCAGGCCCCACGCTTGCACACGTAGAGAAGACTCGAGGGGACAGACCCTGCTTTGGCTGGCACAGCTCCGCTGACGGGGACTCATGGCCGTGCCATCTGTCACAGCAGCACAGCACAGATGTCCACGGCCACTGCAGGCCGGACACCTGCCCCTCTGTGAGGTGACATGCTGCACCCCAGCTCGACTGTGGCCCAGAGAAGCCAGGTCTGGAGAAAGGCCTAGAACAGCTGTCTCAGGCCGCACACGAAAGCTCAGGCCGGATCAAGCTCCGAGAAGGTAGTGACCACACCCACCTCAGCCACACCGGATTTCTGGGCAGAAACTACCCCAAGTCCATTCAGACACCTCATTCTTCTCGAAGGGAAAAAGGCCACTACCAAACAACACAAACTTTTTCTTTTGTGTTCCCCGGAAGGAAATACCAAACCCGTAATTTGGACTCTGGGTTTGAAGATGGTGGCGTCAAGTCAGCATCCCCGCTCCAGCTTCCTGGAAGTCGCCCAAAAGAATAAGAACTAAAACCCACAGACTCCATTTTTGGTGAAGCAAGGAGACAGGGGAGGACCGTGCCAAGGAGGAAGGGCTGCTGAGGAGCAAAGACCCCGCAGGGCGCGCGGTAGAAGCCGAAACAAGGCCCCGCGGCTGTGCAACTCCGCTTCCGGAGGGTGAGGGCACACCTGGGAGCAGCAGCCCTGGCCGCCAGCTTGGCTGGAGCTGTCGGGAGGTCTATGCGGGAAGCACTGGCAGGCCATCCCACTGGGAAACCTTCCCCAGCGGATGAACGGTAAAGGATGAAGAAACTCACACATCAAACCTCAGCCAGCCTGGTCGAGGGATAAATTCAAGGCCTACAAGAAGAGACATAATTGATGTAAACGTGAGCGAGGGAGGGATGAGAGAAAAATCCAAGCAGCAGATGATGAATCCACACAAGACCGATCATGTCGCTCTTCTACTTCAAGGGACTTTATGGTGCTCCCCATCTCACTCAGGGTAAAGGCAAAGTCATTTCAATGGCCTACAAAGGGGTTCCGTCCCTCCTTTGACCGGTCTGGCCTCATCTCTTAACCTTCCCCCTCAGTCACTTCATTTCACTCCTTCCTTCCTCCCTGGCACCCCTCCTAGTTTCTTTGGTGCCTGCAAATTCCAGCCTCAGGGCATTTGCACATTTCTTCCCTCAACCTGGATGCTCGTCCTGCAGGTACCCACATGGCGTGTGACAAAAATTCTCTTCCTAGAGCCTTCCTAGCGCTCTTTCTCAACCAGGCCTTGACTTCTGGACTTCCACGTTCATCTCTGCATGGTCCAACTGTAGCAAGAATTCTGCTAGTTGCTTAAGCTGGCCCCCATATCTGATCACCCTTGCTTGGGTTTCTCATCCTCCCCCAGTGCCCCATTTGAGGTTGTCACCCTGGCCTGCCTTCAGCAAGAATCCTGTTGGGTTGGTTTAGCCAGAATCTGCTCTTAGACTTTGAGCCCAATGTCTCCTCTGTGTAATTTTCCACACACTGATGCCTCCTTGCCTGTACTCAGAGTTAAGACTCCCTGCTCAGTGGGGAGCCTGCTTCTCCCTCTCCCTCTCCCTCTGCCCCTACCCCCAATTCATGCTCGCTCGCTCTCTCTCTCTTTCTAATAAATAAAATCTTAAATACTGAAAGGGTAAATGAATCAGGAATGGTCAAGAAAAGGACAGATTTTAGTAAAATTATTCTACCTCGAAAAAGAAAGAATCCTTTAGGAGTCAGGCCAAAAGATAAAGTCACTCACCAGAGGGGAGAAAAACCAGACATTTCCATAGCAAGACGCAATTCAAAATGAAGGTACAGTAATGCCCATTATGCTCAACGAACACAGCGTGATCACAGAATTTTATACCCACCTAAACAGTCACTCCACTATAAAGGAGTTTTAAATGTGCAGAAATAAACCTCAAGCAGTAGTGTGTGAAAATCCTCCTCGAGGAATTTACTATATAGTGGACTATAAGCATCCATGGGATGGCTAGAAAAACTGTTTAAAAAAAAAAAAAAACCACTTGTAAAGACTGAATCCATTTAACTCTAATAAGACAAGGAGATACGTGATGATGATGGTAGGAGAAAAGAATGCAAAATACAAGGCCCAACAGTGTAGAAATGACTTAAGTAATAACGCTAGCTGGGAGAGGAAGGTCGCAAGAATGTGGGAGGCAGCATAATGTACATGCTTCCCCCAACACACACTCTCACAGCTGGGGCTGACAAATACTCCCTGAAAACCATGCTCTCCAAGGTACCTGGCTGGCTCGGTTGGAGGAGCATGCGATTCTTGATTCCGGGGTCATGAGTTCGAGCCTCATACGGGTGTACAGATTACTTAAATAAATAAACTTAAAAAGAAAAAAGACAAC